ACGCTGGAGCTGTCCATGGATAGTCGGCCACAGGAGAAAGGCTCATCGTTAACTTCCATAGACGTGCACATTGAACCGTTGGTGCTTCGCCTTTCCCTCAGAGACATCTTGATGGCAATACAGATTGTCAATAAGGCCTCCGAAATGAGAGCAAACAGGTCACAGGAAATAGAGAGCGGCGACGTGAAGAGAGTATCAGATGGTAGACAACCCAGCGCGAAGTCCACTCGAAGGAGATCAAGCGCTGCGCGGTCGTCACATGCCCCTGCCTTGATATCACGACGAGCGAGCGGCAAACCGGCTAATCAAGGAGCTGCTTCGGAACGCTCAGCTATACTGAAGCGCGAAGAACTGAGCGCGCAGATCGACGGCGTCAGAGTGATTCTCATAGGGGACTTGCATGATCTTCCATTGCTCGACTGGAGCGTCAAGAAATTCACCGTCGATGTTCGCGATTGGTCGTCTGCACTGAGTGCTGACACTAGCTTTGATACCTTCATCAACGTTTACAATTTCTCCAAGTCGGCCTGGGAACCGCTCATTGAACCCTGGCAACTTGGTTTTCACGTCGCCAAGGAGGTCGACCCTGAAGTCTTTTCAATCGATGCCTACTCACATAAGAACATGGAGCTCACTGTGACCTCGGCTACAATTGCATTGGCATCCAAGTCCTTCCAGTTTCTCTCTACCGATGAAGATGTTCTTTCCAAACCCCGCGGAGCCGACGCACCCTATCGGATTCGCAATTATACCGGCTTCGATCTTCATGTCTGGGCGGATGTCAGCACCGGAGAGGAAGGTCCGGCTGCTAAGCTCTCTGACGGGGAAGAATACCCTTGGAGATTTGAAGACTCGACTGCAGTACGTGAGACTCTTGCACCTGAAGGCCAAGGCGGCGTTGTCGGGGTGAAACTCGAAGGGAGCGGTTTCGAGAGCATCAACCGCATTCCAGTGGCTAGGGAGGGCGAATTCTTGTATAGCCTCAAACCCAAGGCAGATGGTGTTCTCCATAGGCTTCTAGTCGAAGTTAAGCTGGGTACCGACAACGCCAAGTATATTACCTTCCGCTCGCCACTGGTTATCGAAAACAACACTCAAATACCGGTAGAGCTGGGCATCTTAAATCACAAAGAAGGACATCTTCTCAAGATTGAGAAGATTCTTCCTGGGGATGCGCGGCCTGCACCTGTAGGTGCCGCCTACTTGCATTCAGTCCTCATCCGTCCTGATCAGGGCTTCGGATATGAATGGTCAACAGAACCACTGCACTGGAAAGATCTTTTGCGGCGACCTACTCGCACGATCAAGTGCATCAGCGAAAGCGGACAGCAGGCTCCGCCCTTCTACTTCCAAATGAATGCCACCTACAACCCAAAGGATTCCTTGACGAACGTCTATCCTTACATGCGTATACGTATTTTCGCTCCGGTGGAGATTGAGAATCTATTACCATATGATTTCAAATACCGCATTTACGACAAGAACACAAAGAAGGATTGGACCAATTTCCTAAGGAAGGGTGGTGTCAGTCCGGTCCATGTTGTTGAGCTATCTCATCTACTGCTTCTCAGTATTGACCTAGAGGACACCGTCTTTAGGCAAAGCGAATTCGCCATCATTAACGGAAATGCGCAAGATTACCGAAGGGAACACATGCTCTCACTCAAGGATGAACAAGGCATTCCGTTAAGACTAAAGCTCCATTACTTCAACGTTCCAGATAGTGGAGGCGCTTTCAAGGTGTCGATTTACAGTCCGTATCTTATCTTGAACAAGACAGGACTGCCAATGGAGATCCAGAGCAAGGCCTTCTTGCAATCAGCACGCTCCGCAGCTGGTGAGGGCCTGAACCCCGATCCAAGACATGGCGGGCGGGCTCTCCCATACATGTATGCTTATCAGTCGGAAGATCCGAAGAACCGATCTATTTTGAAGATAGGAGATTCCGCCTGGAGCAGGCCGCAGAGTTTTGAGGCTCTTGGGAGCAACTTTGAAGTTGTCTTGCCCGATAGGCAAGGGAAGTGCGAGTTCCATGCAGGGGTGTCTGTTATGGAGGGTGAAGGCAAATATAAGATGACTAAAGTTGTCACCATTTCTCCTCGCTTCATCCTGAAAAACAAGCTGAGTGAGGACATTTTGGTCCGCGAACCCGGCTCATCAAACGTGCTTACCATCAAGAGTGGCGATTTGGTGCCCCTGCATTTCCTGCGCCAGATTGCAGAGAAGCAACTTTGCCTGTGCTTCCCCGGCGTGAACAATCAATGGTCATCGCCTTTCAACATTGCAGACGTTGGAACCGTACATGTGAAACTTGCCAAGGCAAATCAACGTCAGAGGCTTATCAAGGTTGATATCATCATGGAAGGCGCTACGCTTTTTATCCACTTCAGTTTGGAAACTCGAAATTGGCCCTTCTCCATGCGGAATGAGAGTGATTCCGAATTTATCTTCTACCAAGCTGTAAGCACCCCTGCGCGACATATGACTCGTATACATGCTAACACACTGACTGCCCTTATAGAATCCAAACGTGGAGGATGACGAGGAGGATAGAACAAGTGGCTGGCGGCCAATTCGCTACCGGCTCCCAGCCCGCAGCATCATGCCATATGCATGGGATTATCCGGCTACGAAGAACAAGTCTCTCGTCTTGACGTGTAATGGAAAGGAAAGGCACATCAGGCTCACCGAGATAGGCAACCTGATACCGATGAGAATACCGCCTTCACGACCTGGGGAGCCGCAAAAGATTGTTGATATCAACATCGTGGCTGACGGGCCGACCCAGACCCTCGTCTTGTCAAATTTCAAGCAATCTCGAAGTCTTTATAAGCAACAGAAGGCACAGACATCCCAGACTAGTGTGTCAACCGGTTTTGAGGTAAAGGAGCTGGACTCGGACGTCAATTTCAAAGCTCAGCTACGTCTGGCGGGCATCGGGGTCTCGTTGATCAACAAGAATCTGAAGGAGCTGCTATATCTCACTTTCCGCGAAATCGAGATCAAGTTCAGAGAATCAAGGGTTTACCAGACTTTGAACACAACGATCAAATGGATCCAGATCGATAATCAACTTTATGGGGGCATCTTCCCCATCTTGTTGTATCCAAGCGTTGTGCCAAAGACCGGAAAGGAGATGGAGGCCCATCCGATCTTTCACGCCATGGTTACACGCGTAAAAGACGACTCTTACGGTGTACTTTACATCAAATATGCCACGGTACTACTTCAACAGATGACACTTGAGCTCGATGAGGACTTTATCTTCGCCATGCTCGATTTTGCAAAGGTTCCTGGTGCTTCATGGTCCGAAGAGCAGGAAGGAAAACTCTGCGATGAAGATCTAAAAATCCCAGAACCGCAGAATGAAAGTGCTAGCCAAGATGTGTACTTTGAGCTCCTTCATTTGCAGCCGATGCAGTTGGATATCTCATTCATGCGGACAGAGAGGGTTAATGCCGAGAATACCATGCAGCCCTCCAACCCTCTCATGTTCTTCGTCAATGTCATATCCATGTCAATGGGCAACATCAACGACGCCCCCGTTCGTCTCAATGCTCTTATGTTAGAGAACGCTCGTGTCTCTTTCGGAATCCTTCTGAACAATATTCAGAGACATTACACTCAGGAATTCCTTCGTCAAGTCCACGTCATTCTTGGGTCGGCGGATTTCCTGGGAAATCCAGTGGGTCTGTTCAATAACGTCAGCTCTGGTGTTGCTGCTATCTTCTACGAGCCCTATCAGGGACTGGTCATGACCGATCGGCCTCAGGAACTGGGCATGGGTATTGCAAAAGGCGCTACAAGCTTCGTCAAGAAGTCCGTCTTTGGTTTCTCAGACAGTATGGCCAAATTCACCGGAAGCATGTCCAAGGGACTTGCGGTCGCCACGCTAGACAAAGAATTTCAAGATCAACGACGAATGTCGAAGTCTCGGAATCGGCCAAAGCATGCATTGTATGGTATCACGGCCGGTGGAAATGCGTTCGCAACCAGCTTAGCAAGCGGCATTGGAGGTCTTGCTCGCCACCCGCTGCAGGGTGCGGAGAAAGAAGGTCTCCAAGGTTTCATCAAGGGTGTCGGTAAGGGTGTACTTGGACTGGCCACCAAGCCGGCAATAGGCGCCTTTGACCTTGCCTCAAGTACGTCAATCTCCAGGAAAATAATGATGCTCATGCTGACTGTTGTCTAGATCTCGCCGAGGGTGTACGAAACACCACGACAGTGTTTGACGCGGAAGGTCTTGACCGTGTTCGCCTAACACGTTTCATTGCCACGGACGGTATAGTGCGGCCATACTCACAGCGCGAGGCTTTGGGTCAATTTTGGCTTAAGACAGCCGACGACGGCAAGTATTTCAACGAAGACTACATTGCGCACTTGGAGCTGCCGGGCAAGGACATGCTGGTCATGTTGACGTACGACCGAATAATGCTTGTGCGCAGCAAGAGACTCCGAACAGAATGGGATATCCGATTGACAGACATCCAAACCATTTCCAAGGAACGGACTGGTATGAGCATTACGCTCAAGGGTGGCGCAAACGGGCCTTTCATTCCCGTGCAAGACGAGAGCTCGAGGAATTGGCTGTACCGCCAGATCGCCATTGGTAGGTCTATCTATCCCGATAACCTCCGGAGTGAACGGTTGCTAACCATCTGAAACAAAAGCTGTCAACGCATTCAATGAAAGGAACAATACAAGAGTTTGAGTTGGGATTCCTTCCATCTTAAAAAATCAGGCTACGTCTCTCTCACAAGAAAAATGTGTTGAAGGGGACCAACACGAGGATGTATGATGCATTAAACGTACTTGGTCAGATTCTACACTCGCATTCCGCTTTTCAGAGTATATAATTCTACCACAGCCATTTTAGTGATGAGCATGGACTGTCAATGTACATAGTCACACTTTCTTTTATGAAAACAGGACGACTCATTCTTTCTCACAGTGTCGAAGTAGACTACCGAATTTATTACACCATCATCTGTAACTATAGATGTGTCTCAAACTAACATGCAATGTCTCCTAGTGAACGTGCCTGAAGGGCAAGCTTAGATTCATATAGTCGTGGTCAGACGAAGCTTTCGTTTCATCACATATGTGGAGTAAAAATTTATCATAGAGCAAATAAAGTAAACATGGGTATCATCAATTTCCCAGATGAACGCGCAGAAACAGAGGCTCCAGAGAAGCCCAGAGTACCTGAGACAAAGACTGATATGTCACTTGCCCTCGGCACGCTCCACAAGCCGGTCCTCCAGACCCATAGGTTCCCATATATCCTTTGCTTTCTTGTTTTGAACCCAGACGACATCTCCCTGTACAAACGCGACAACTCCGCCCTTCCCGGTGGCGCTGGCCGTGATGCGGAACAGGGGCTGGCCGTTCTGGGGATGCGCTTCCCGCAGCGGCAGTATGATAAGACCCTGTTCCATGCACCACGATTCGAGAATATCCTTGAAGGCGATTTCCTCGACGACCTTGGGCTTGCGAGGCGGGGCAAGCGCCTCTGGAGCGGCGCGTGGTACGTCTTGTGGGGAGCCGGTTGCGCTGCGACGGTGGGGACTGGCAGCTCGGTGGCGGGGTCGTCCAGGCGGGACGCAAGGTCCATTTGTTGGAGACCTTTGTTCCATTCGTCGTCGACGACGGCGAGCTCGTTGATCTCTGCGGGGATCTGAGTGCGCCACCAGGTGAACCATTCGCCGACCTCTTCGAAGTTGGGGTCATGGGTAAGCCAGAAGTATAGGGTTTCGTGCCATTTAGGGAAGAACTCTGCCACCAAAAGAAGACCAAGAACGTTGGGCCTGAAGAATCCTTTCCACTTAAGGATATCCTCCAAGGCAGTCAAGTCCTGATCTTGAGGGTTTACCTCGAAGTCCTTCTGCAGGTGACGCGCAAGACGAGGCAGCAAGTGGTTACGTAGGCTCACATCGAACTCGGACCCTAGCGCGTCTCGCCAGAGTTCGATACCACTTATCAGACCCTTACTGAGATCCCACGAACGCAGGATCTCCTGGAACTTCTTTTTCGCGTCTGAAAGGAGACCCGTGGCTTGTCTCGGATTCGTGTGGCGTTCGTCCAAGTATTGGAGCCAAGTGAAGAGCCACCATGGAGAGCGTGAGCCCTGCTGGGAAGAGGGATGACGCCTGCTGCTGCTCCTGGGCTTCCACTCTTTCAGGCCGCCGCTGAGTTTGGGAACGACGAGCTGGTCGAGCACGTTTGCGAACACAAAGTTCGGTAGGATCTCTTTCCAGGATACGATCAGTGATGTGGCAGGGGACGGGTCGAACACATCCCAGTCGTTAATGAGCGCAGAGCGGACTCGGGGGAGCCAAAGAGTGTAGATCATGGTTTCGTATGGCGACGTCGCTGGCCTTGACACGGCCTCGTCATTTTTCTTCCTGCCGAGAAGGGGCTGAAGACGACGAAGATTAGATACAAGGAATGTCGGCTCTTGAAGAGGATCCCAATCCTCCATCGCTTGGCGGAAGAGCGGGTGAATAGCAGCGACCGCCGTCTCTGATAGTCGATACTCGTCGATCTCGCTTCGGTACTTCATCTCTATCGATTCGAGCTTGCTGGTCAATTCGTCGAACCGTGCAAGCGTACTGTCTTCTTCGAAAATCTCCAGCTGCCCGATAGCAGTGATAAGGTCCGTGAGTTGATCCGTCTTGAGCTGATTGGTGTCCAGTTGTTCCACGATCTGAGCTTCCTCCAACTCAGCAAACTTCTTTCGTTCCGTTAATCCTTTCCATTCATCGGCAAACGCTTCGAGGTCATGACGCGCTCGTCGTGCGATCTTCAACGCCTCTCCTTCACCTTGATTGACAAACTCCAAAGGAGTCATCAGGCCGGCTGTGGAGGTCAGAACTCGCTGTTCCTTGCCAGTAGCATCAATCAGCGACTTTAACACGTTTGGCACCTCCAGACCATCCATATCTGCCTCAATTTCGCGTGCGGTTCTAAACCGAGGTTTCGCTCGAGGGACCGGTGTCCCCGTCCCACTCCTGCTCTCCCGTTGACGTTCTTCCTTCTTTTTCCGTCGTCTCCTCCGTTCTTCATCTGAACTGTCTTCGACAACTTCACCTCGGGCAGCTGCTTGTCGCTTCTCCTCCTCTCGAGCCTGTTTCGTTTTCTCGCGAACGGCACCCAACCCAGCGCCCGTCGGTCGCGCTTGCGCCTCGATCGGGGTGACGATACCCTGTCCACTCGCACCCAAACCTTGCCCTTCTTTGTAACCCATCTTAGCCATCATACGCGCAGCAAAAGAATTCCCTCCGCCGGTGGTGGGTTTGCTGGTATTGGCGTTTCCGCCTCGGGGGCAGTGGTGGCTGACTGCATGTTATTCCAGGGATTACGACGAGCACTTCCCAGGCCGAAAGAAGGAGGCGATTCGGAGCGAGAGGAAGCTTTCGCAAAGCCGCGAAAGCCTGTAGCAGCGCGAGCATCTTCCTCATCTGAGCTCATATCGACGATTTTACGCTTCTGGCCAGCGAAGGACGAGGACGTCGGTGACTCCATGGTCGGTCTAACGGGGGCAAATGCAATGAAGTACGTCAGAAAGTCACAGCCTTTTCAGTTTAACTGAGGGCGTGCAAGTGAGGTTAGTCAGATCTATGAAAAATCCATGAAAAATGAGCTGGCAACGACGCCGTATGATCGGCTTCTAGAACATGAAGATAATAATAAGCCGTATCTGATTTCTTTCGTAATCGCTCGGGCGGTGACGGGGCGGGGAAACGCGAGCTCCGAGGGGAGAGAAACAATGACGTTTGTTCCCCATTCTCCTCCTTCGAGCCGATTCTTCTCTCGTTCTCTCTTCCTTTTCTCTTGTCTTCTGTCTTTGAGAAGCATCAGAATAGTTTCCTGTTTGCCTCTTCCATCTCTTCAGTGAACGACATTTCTCAATTACATAATGGCCGCCTCTCTCATCCGTACCTCTGCGCGTACCGCCCTCCGCTCCGGAGCTTCGGCTGCTCCAAGAGCTGCTGCGAGCTTGACTTTTGCCCGCGGCAAGGCTACTCTGCCTGACCTGTCTTGTATGTTGGCTTCCCCTCATCAATGCATTCCTCGTCTCAAGATAGGAGCCTCCTTCCTTCGTTTAAAGTGGAATACCGACGCTGTATCCGAGCTACATAATCTCACCTTCACATATATCTACTAGCGTAGCATTACAATTGCAGTCTCTGAATGAAACTAATCATGGATAACAGACGATTATGGTGCCCTGGAGCCTTCGATCTCTGGCAAGATCATGGAGCTTCACCACAAGAACCACCACCAGACCTATGTCAACAGCTACAACCAGGCCATCGAGCAGCTGCAGGAGGCTCAGGCCAAGAACGACATTGCGTCGCAAATCGCCCTGAAGCCCCTGATCAACTTCCACGGCGGTGGTCACCTCAACCACACTCTCTTCTGGGAGAACCTGGCCCCTAAGAGCTCTGGTGGTGGTGAGCCCCCAGTGGTGCTCTGGCCAAGGCCATCGAGGAGACATATGGCAGCTTGGAAAACTTCCAGGGTAAGATGAACACCGCTCTGGCTGGCATCCAGGGAAGCGGATGGGCTTGGCTTGTCAGGGACAAGCAGACCGGACACATTGGCATCAAGACCTATGCCGTAAGTGCAAGCATTCGGAAAAAGTCAATCCCAGACAACTTACTTCGAATTAGAACCAAGACCCTGTTGTTGGTCAGTTCCAGCCTCTTCTTGGCATTGACGCCTGGGAGCATGCCTATTAGTAAGTGGCCCTTTCTAGCCTTGCCATCCAATGCCGGTCAACAGTAGCTGATGCAACACACTCCGCAGTCTGCAATACCAGAACCGCAAGGCCGAGTACTTCAAGGCCATCTGGGAGGTCATCAACTGGAAGAGTGTGGAGAAGCGCTTCTCCGCATAGATTATCTAAGAGCATTGTCTGTTGACACAGCTTTGGTTGGAGCGTTCTTCTGTTGGTTTGTCGCATATGATTGTATAATGATTTCCTGTATCTGATATAGCCCTAATCAACAAATGCACCAACAACTGCCAGTCACTCTCGCAATTTTTACCTCATGATTGTAGCCATTGTATGAGTCCTGCAGCTCTCCGGATAGCCGCGGATATGATCTCCCGTAACAGCCGGTATTGTTACCGTACTGAGCTCTTTACGGCATCATCCAATCTCCAAAAACGGAAATTCAATCCTCCAGGTCCGTTCCGCAGTATGACGAGCATATAGGCAAAAGAAGACACCAACTCTTCAACTACCTCCCATTCATCGCCGGCCGCCTTTCCAGCAGGATGTCTGCAGAGAGCCCGGGGCAGAAAACTGGCTTTCGAGCCTTTTTAACAAACGCTCTGCGACCGAAAAAATCCCGCCAAGTTCTCCGCAAGAACACCGTATCTACACCAAACCTCCGAGCGGCTGCACGACCGAGCATTGCCAGCGATGAGGTTCCTGAAGTTCCTTCGCTTGCGCCCTTGCAGGCTCATCGCCTAAAGTATCGGGAGAAACATGCACTGGTGGATACCCAGCTAGGCGAGACTCGCGACCCTACGGCTATGCTACATTCGATAGGCATTCTTGATACGGAAGATTCGGATGGTTTCGCATCGGACTTACAAAAAGACAATCGACCGCCCGGGGAGCCGATGATTGCAAGCCTATCACAAGATCTGTGGGCGCTTGTTGCAGAATACCTCAATCCGGCAGAGCGAGCCAGCTTAGCCTTTGCCAGCAAGACGCTTCTCCTCCGCCTGGGCCGGGGGCCCTGGATGGCCTTGAACCTCCCCGAGAACCGCGAATACAGAGTCGACTTCCTAGCCCCGCACGACCGATACCTACCCCATCATCTCCTCTGCATGCCTTGCGCCCGATACCACCGGCGCACGCAGGAGGGCCACGAAAGACTCGAGCCCGCAACGGTCGTCAACCCGCTCTTCAACTGCCCGAACGCCCGCAACCCCTCCTCCCGCCCCGCGCCACCGCATCACCCACGCCCGCATGCTGCACTTCACCTTCGTGCAGCTCGCGCTGCGCGCCCACCGCTTCGGCCCCGCCTACGGCATCCCCGTCGACTCCCTCTCCCGTCGCTGGCGACGGGACGGCTGGTCCCACCACACCCGGTACCACATCCACAAGGGCAAGCTGCTGATGCGGGTGGTGAGCTCAACGTTTGCAGAGCCCGACCTGGCGCCCAGCTCGATGCGCCTGCTCCTGTACTCGCGCGACGACTACTGGCCGTATTTTTCCGTCTGCGCGCACTGGCGCGACGGGCAGCTCATGGACGTCTGCAAGTGCGCGCTGGGCCACGTCCCGAAACCCCGCGCCACGGCCGGCCTGCAGGGCCTCGAGCACCGCGCCAAGGACATCTACCACGGCCGCACGCACAACCCCAACCAGTTCGCGACCCTTTGCGCCAAGTGCCGTCCCATGCGCCGCTGTCCCGATTGTCCGTCCGAGTACATGGTCGAGATCAAGTTGTCCGAGGACCGGTCCGACCCGCGGAGTCTGCGCTTCCGGCATGCGATCGTGGTGACGAGGTGGTGTGATCTCGGCGATGGGACCTCGCCGCATGGATCGCGCGAGTGGGCCGCGTGTAATGGCGAGCTGGCCGGGTATGACTCGTTTGAGGTGCTGGGGAAGCGGTCCATCTCCGGGGTGTTTGAGTCGGCGTTCACGGATGATCATATACCGGGGCAGAGGATCGTTTCAATGAATCCGAAGGGGAAGAGGCTCGGGGAGGCGGGGAACAGCTGGTATTGAGTGTTGTTGCTTTTTCCTACTATACTGCATTCTGGGACTTTTGGCCGTTGGTCATGGCGTATGAAGGGAAAAAAAAAAAAGGGAGTATGGTCCGGATAGCGCTGGCTGCATTTTGGGAATGATATATAGACTGGGTTTGGTTTTCTAGCTTGGTATTTGGGACAAAATCTAACAACCGTTGAATTCGTTATGATAATCCTAGCTACCTCAATAGTCTACAAGTTGTTCTGAAATAGAATGATTGTCTTGGACAAGCTCGCCCGTAAAGTCAAATGAAATCGTCATCATGTACGATTTGTAAAAGCAGAGAGCAGGTCATAATGAAAAGGAGGATTGCCGGGCGAAAGTATACAAAGGGACATAAGATCAGAAGAGAGGTGGTGCACTGGTGGTGAGTTGGCAGACCTGCTGAACCCACAACCGGGACAATAAGCAAAAAGACGCCCAAATGCTTCATATGTCGTCAGAGATGTATCATAATTCGACAGTAAATAATGCTTGTATTCCATGAAAACCGCCCATGCAATCGGTAGTCGTACAGTCCCACATGAATTATCTGAAGGAAAGGCTCGGGTATCAAAGCAGGTCGTAACAGTCATGCATGAGATACACGCGACGTGATAAAAGATTTTAAAGTGGCATAGGACGGGTCATGTATTCCCAAACTCGGGTATTTTTGTCATTGCGCCGCCGTATCCTTCAAGGTCGACGGGTTCTTCGCTCAATATATCGCGGCCGACGCGTCGAATCGTCGTCGTCTTGCTTTTGAGCCATATGTCTGACGGAAGCTGACATATCCTGAAAAGCTCCATATGCACCGACGCTCTTTGCTGCCTCGGGTAAGGTATTGGAGCTGTCAGGATTCCACCGGGCTATCGGCCGTTCCTTGCTGGTGGTCTGCGTAGTTACCGTCGAGTCGGCTCCAGCTTTCTTATGATGAGAACCGCTTCCGCTCGAACTTTTCATCCAGCCAAAGCCAAAGATGCCAAGGGAGCTACGTCTCTTATGACCCTTGCTGGCGGACGTTGATGGTCTGGCAGTTGATGAGTGTGACCAGAAGTTCGATTCTGTGAAAGAATGGGGAAGAGTCCTGCTGGGGCTGTTTGCATTATTCGCAGCAGCGTAGGTCGGTGCCGATCCGTAGAGGTCCCCGTGAACCCGTTGTGAAGCATCCATAGTTTCAACGGTCTTGGCTGTCTTTGGCGGTTCCACGATCCTGGCTTTGCGAATGACAGGGGAGGGCGCACCATCCCCACTATCCTCTGAATCAGTTATTGGGGATGGCTCAAGACGACGAGGCTGTGCCAGACGGCCTAGGAACGGTGGCCGAAGATTGATCCGTCGTCGGTGTTCCCGTTCTTGAAGTACAGGCTGTGTATTTGTGTCTGACGGAGGCAAAGGAAGCGTTGTTTTTTCTGGGACTCCGGGGTCTCGGAGAGTCGAGTCCACACTATGCCTACGAGTTAGGAACGTGGATTGGCTGGGAGCCCGTGCCCCGGTCGCTTTAGACGGCGGAAGGCCGGTATAGGTCTTTGTGTCTGGAGACCTATTCTTCGTGGGGCGAGGACCTGGCTTTGCCGCCTCGACCCAGTCTTGAGGAGTCAACGGGGGTGATAGAGATGAGACGTCCGCTATTGGCTTTTGAGTTATGGGGGCTGGCGGAGAGTAGTAGCTCTTCTCCATCTTTGATATGACTTTCTCAATTCCCACAGGGTTGAAAATCACGTCATCAACGTCGCTGAAATAACGCATACTTGGTTTTGGAGAAGCTGGATCAAACACGTAGTTCCTCTTGGTTGGGATGCCGTTCAAGGGAAAGATAGCCGGGGTCGGTTCGCGCTCTTCAGTACTAAGACGAGGCAGAGTCACATCGCTCCGAGCAGGGTCAATTCTCTCCAAGTCTCTATGATCGGAACTCTTCGTTGTCAGCTCTCCCGCAGACCGTGGCCGGCCAAGTTTTCGGGCGGCAGAGCACTGCTGGTAAGGCTGAACCTTCTCCCTGGCGCTACTGCCATTCGATCTATTTGTCCCCGACGCACAGGCCGTACTCATTGTGTCTGGAGTAGGAGGTAATTTTGACCCTCCAAAGACGTCATCCAGCCGTAGCTTCTGGCGAGGGCGCTTGAGAACATGCCGTCTTTGATAATGTAGTCGCCAGCCTCCCTTGAAGCATTGGTGTGAGCTTGGTGCCTTTCTTTTGGGATGGTACTTGTCGGAAATAATTCCACTTGAGGCTGATTCCAGCTAGAGCTGCGAATGTGACCGCTTGCCTGTATTTCGCCCTTGGGCCTCGGGGTAGTCTCACTTGTCCCCACTGATTTTTCCTGGTGGACTGGAGTGTCGACTTGGTTGAAAAGAGGCGCCTCGTTTATAGTGTCATAGGGCATGAGCTCGCTACATTCACTGAGAGCGCTCAATCTGGGTGACTCTGGTTCGGTAATTTCAGCCATTGAGTTCATACTCTCCGTCTTCGTCATAGCGCTTCTTGCAGATCGTGAAGGATGTTCAGAGGTAACGTAGAGACTGCGTAGAGCTGCGGTGCTCGGCTGCTCTTCACGGAGGAATGAAGGGGCCCTTGTGAGAGAACGACTTCCCGAAGAAACTCGGTTATTGTCCCCTAGCAAGGTGCCCTTCTTAGACGAAGATCTCTCTGGTATATCTGGAGTGACACAATTCTTAGGTGTGGCTGCGTCTGGCCCATTGCTGGACGAAGGACGAGCTGTAGAGGCTCTGGACGAAATCGCACCAGCCTCCAGCTCCTCCAATCTCGCTTCAAGTTGGCAGATCAATTCCACGGCTTCTGTGACCGCCTGGTCTCGCTTATCGATCTCTTGACGGAGCTGCTCATTGGACTCGCGGAGTCTCTGATTGTCCTCTTCCACATCACGAAGCTCTTGCAGTTCCTCTTCTAAATCGCGCATGCGCTGAACGTCTTCCTCCAGCTGCTGCATACGTTCCAGTCTTTTCTCCAAGACGGCCATCTGCTGCGCGCGATGGAAGATGTCAAGTTTCAGGTCAAAATTTTGTTTGTTAATTTTGGAAATGTACTGGCCGGGCGTCAATTTATGCCTTGACTCATGACTCTTTCTCGTGGGTAACTTACTTGGTCCATCTCCCTGAAACCCATCTCTCGTGGCTGCTTGAGGCCCGCCGATAATGCGCTATTAATCTTGCGTTGTCTTTCAGAACCTGCATCTTCCTGGGACTGGGACTGGGTCTGGGTCTGAGACTGGGTTTGCGAGCGTTCGGGGGTACGAGGCATGTACTCTGCACAGTCCTCTGTAGGAGGCGGACCCCGCGAAACTCGAGTCGCACGTTGCTCTCTTAAAAGGTCTTGTAAAAGCGTAGACGAAGGGTTCACTAAAGGTGTAGAAGCAGGTTCCGGGGTCCCTGTCGCACACAGCAATTGTCAGCATTCTCTTCTCCATGGTACCACAGCTTCGCGGAGTGCAAGGACAGCTCAACTATAACTCGTACCTGATCTGGACCCATGTTTCCTTCGTGTGGCACGAGGCGTTCCAGTTAATGGAGACTGGCCGTTGAACCAGGACGTTTCTGTGTATACCAATCAGCACCAAGATATTCATTGTAGAACCCAGGCACGCTTTACCAGAATCCAATCGCGACGGACTATTCATAGTGGACGTGCCCTTGACACGAGCAAGCGCTGCAGGAATTGGGGGTTCGGATTTGTCTGTGGAACACGGCGGTCAACTCAGTTCTTTTGTGTATTGCAAACGGGACTTGCGAAATCAAGGGCGGGCTTACTGTTTGAGTAGTGTCTCAGGAATGCTGTACGGCGAGCAGGGGCAGGCACAGAGGAAGAGGGCTCGAAGGACTGTCGCAAGGTAGAAGGGGCAGTTGATTGCACGGAAATTGTGCTACGTCGCTTGGGTTTCGAATCCATGCTGATGAAATGTAGACAGGAGCCACTCAGCTGGCTAGCTAGCACATTGCAGGATCTAACAAATTTGCAACAGGACGGCCAGCCGTGTGTCCTCTAGGGATGGCAAGAACTCTTCATCAAATTGGGGAAATTACTTCATCGATTGAGCAAGGGTTGACTCAAAGAGCCCTCGCGATACGGAGTACTGGCAGATTGACGATGCGAGGGGCCCGAACTTTGAGGCTGGAGGCGCAATGATCAACGAGTAGAAAGAACGGTGGGTTCACCTAACGCAGGAGAGAGGAAGGTAGTGATGATATTGGAGAAGCACAGCGTATGCAGCCTATTGGCACTATATCAAGTGAGGGCAAGATGAAGAAGATGATGACAAGCGCCTGTGACAAGTCAACTGTGAGTCTGTAAATCTTTAAGCTAAGCAAGAAACGGAGACTCCCACGATATGGGGTCTGGTCGGGGAATGTCAGGTGTTGCCATGCGACCGATTGCCATGCATCCAAGCAGTGGCCGATCTATTGATATTTATCCCTTGAATTGCGATTGTTGTCACTCTTCTCCGTATCGTCGATGGTCATCCTCATACCTCAGATAAGATAGGCAATTGAGCCCGTCATCATTCACTTCCGCTGTCAGGATATCGGTTTTTGGAGAAAGGGTAGCCTGGAGTTCCCTTCCTGGACGATCAAAGAAACCACCAATGGGGTTTCATTTCTTGCCCATCATCATTGGCCTTTTTGTGCTAGTGTCCACTAAAGAGTAAGCAATGAGACTAAGGCACGGCTAAAGTTCTATGTACGGAGTAGACTAGCCTTTCATCCTGTCAAAACTCAGGGGCTGGACTCTTATCGACTATTATCGTGAATAGGAGTCAATTTTGAACTCTGGCATATAGGAGCAATCTGCCATTGTCACACATATCCTTTCACCTTCAAATTGACTTGAAGATACTGATACACTCAGTAATTGGAAGTACTCCGTACCATGAGTCCTTCTGGCTCAATTGCTCATAGTACAGAGTAGAGTAACAAAAGGAATATGGAATATGCTTCAACCCCACAAGGCGGGGTGTGCCGGTGAACCACAACTTGCCCATGTGCGGTACGCCAGATCTAGGTAGGTAGTTTAGCTGTATCTAACTGCGCCTTCAATAGACCGCGGCACGATAGGAATATCACGAAGTTATCTTATTGGTTATTAGGCAAGAGGATCTGCCTGGCTACTAATATTATATTATTGCCCCATCGCAGATACTGGTATTTGCTTTGAAATATATTCAGTCACAATTGCGCTTAAATAACTACAGCATGCTCATATTAAATGGTGTTCTGTGGATATAAAGTCGCAATGAACCAGGTCACTTGCTACTAGTTATTCATACTAAGCAATCACGATGACGTTGGGCTCCTCTTCCCTGGGTTTACTGGAGACAATTGATGGTCCCCAAAAGCAAGCTATTCCAATGATGTGCTACTCAAACCATCTGGTAAATATTGGATCCCAAAGGACACAGACAACCATGACCTGCACGTAGGCTAGCATTATTAAGTCAATCGCGAGTCATTTGCTCGAAATTAGGACTAATGGCCGATATCTTGAGGTTCATGCTTTAAACGCCCAGCCCAATGCACCAACGAAATGATACCATGGAATCAATATCTTGGATCTCCATCATGAACTAATCAAAACGAATTCTCCCTAACACACTAAGAGCGAGCACAGCTCAGCTCCTAACAACCATTTTGAAATTGGCTGTATCATCTCTTTTTGGCCTCCCCCGCCCAGATTCGTGTCTCCCTTGCGCTATCATGGGCCACGCGGAACACTAGTTGACGGTAGTCAATAGCCGGGAATTGCGTGTCAGGGGATAAATTTACATACATTGCCTCTCCGTCTCATCCAGTCCTCGAAGAAAATCTGCACCCTCCCCTAAAGCGCCCTTGGGGTTATGCGCGTGGTCAGCAATCTCCGCTGCGCGCTTTTTGAATGTCTATGAAGACCAAAATTAGCAGAGAAACGTAGAGGAATTCGTCAACTCCACGCAGTCTGATGGATTTATACGTACGTTGATGAGAACGTCGACCATCTCTTCCTCTTCAAAGAGATCGAGCACCCGCTCGCTCAGACTGTAAAAGTGCGGTGCCAATGAGCGCAGATCCACGGTTCGGGGATCGGCTTTCAGCGCATTCACTACTCGGTCTGATAATGCCGATGGAAGGTCAAGTGTAACTAATCGTGAAGTTCCCAGACGTGCTCTTTTTTTCGGAGTTAGCGGGAGTCTACTTCATCGATAGTACATGCTGCGCAAGATCCTGACCCAATTGACAACATCACCCCAAGCCATAATGGAAGATCAATCCGAGTTCCTGCCTTGATCTATGCAATCGTCAAACTCTGAGTCGTTCTCCTGGAGCATCCTTACTCACATTTTCTCCAGGATTGCCCTCCAAGATGCCAAGCCCGGGCACCTCAAGTTCAAATGTGCAGGGCAGTTTCTGGTATGCAATCGTTAGATCAAGAAAAAAAAGTTGTCAAGGTGCAGACTGGCATACCTGTGCGTCTGTCAGGATAGAGTCAACGTCATAGTAGGACATCTTGAAGTCTTCTCCGAGTAGTACGATGGTCAAGATGCCAATCTTAAGAGCAATGCCGTTAATTGTGATCTATCTTGGTCGGCGGCGCGTACCGTTGTCGCGCGATCACGTGATAAACATAATTAAGAATTTAAGATTGTCCATTGCTATCCGTACTGGGTACTTCTTGGCACTTCTTCATAATTATTTGACCATCGTATGCTTCACTCGGCTATCTCAAGAGCGTCATGTAGCGTCTACGGAGTATGTTCGACAATCTCGTAGCCAAAATTAACGTTATCAAGACATTCCTCAAGTTAGGTTCAATAGATGCCGTGCCACTGCCCGAAAGATATTGTTGCCAATCTTGGACCATCTCCCCTTTCAAGGGTACCAGGCTTGTTTAATTTCAGAAAATTCCTTGCCTATCCAGTGGACTCGAACTCTGACGGTACCGACGAAGAAGCATATCTTGGAAATTACGAAGGAACTTGCCTTGGATGCGGCTTTTAATCCTAGAACCATCTCGAAGCATAGCGCCGGATGATCATCCTAGAACTATATGCATCCCCGACAATACGGTCAACAAGGAGGGCCCTGAATGATGATATTGGATGAAGATTCTGAGGTCGACGATGGATGAAGGACGACATCTTGCAGCTTACTCTGGAGGATCTGACAAGCGATTTCAAAGTTTTCAAAGATGTCTTACTACTGAAGGTACGCTGTACTGAGACCCGAGGTCACAATGAACCTACGTGGACATTGATCTTTTTCTTCCTTTGCCTCTTCACAAACTCAAGGGGATCATATTGAAAGAGTCGCAAGTCAACGGAGTCAGGTTGGATTGAATAGGCGGACCGATGTAGATATAGATGAGCAGAGGAAGAAAGCATGAAATCTCGGTTCGAGGAAGAACGGTTTTGTTACCATCTCAGGACGGACCTGGAGGTTCTAGAACTGGGGATTTTCAGGGCCGACCATAGGGTGTTTGCTATCTAAAATAGTGCGACTCCACCGGGCAGTCACACTGCGAACATGTCTTAGGTACTGGGAACTGTCTATTTATTATTCATGAATTCCGACTTGGAATCATCTCGAGGCCGTAGGTCTTAAGCTGATGATATCTAGATAGGTACGGAGCAGCTACTCTACATCCTGATCATGCCTTCTGTAGGTAGAGAGGTAGCTATATAGCCATTGTCGAGATAGCTCGGCAGATAACACCACCAATAGTGTACCAACGCAGAAGCCCTATCATTGTACCGATTCAATAACAAGGCGCATTGAGATCGCCTTCTGAGCTTATCGCTCTAATCATACCTGGTTCGTGAAGCCCAACATGACGGGGTAAAATCGGAAAACTGGGGAGGGGAGGTTGGAATACGTACGGTACCACCATTCCTTCTGTTTTCGGACTGATAGTGATCTGCCAAGAATCAAAATCTGTTGCCATCCGTCTTTGTCCCCGAATTTAATGCGCAGCCATGCAGTCTGAAATCCATCTTTCACAAATCTCAGCATTCTCTGTGTAAGATAGGACAACTACCTTGTTTGTTTGTTCGGGTCTTCAAGTCATATCTCTCATTATCGCATGTCTTAGCGCTGGGTTTTAAATGAGTGCTAGCTACGAGTAATCGGGTCTAGCCTAGGTATTCAGTTCTTGTCCGCTGATTTCACTGGCTAGGAGGCATGTATTATCTCGAGACTAGGAGGTGCTAGACCCCTCTCTAAGTTGTAAGATGCCTGAAAACCATCACCCTTCTCCAGTTCCTTGTTTTTGAGAAGACTTGAGCACAAATGTGGCTCTGACTACATCATACCCTGCAAGAAATTTTTTTTCTGCTCCATTGTTATGCGTATATTCGAGTCTGTCACATCCCGAGCCAGAGATGGGTAAGTACCCAAGGTACGGAGTAAGCAGTACCAGATACTTACCCAGGTACCACCTTAGGTACCTACAGGTAAGGTAGGTAGTATCAGTTAGCCCTATCCCGCTACCTTAGGTATTCCGTACCTGGGCACAGTTGGGTTGTAAGTGTAACGGCCGTGTAATAATCATGCAAGCGGTATGGGGACCAAATAGGTACAACATTAGCACCTAAGTAAGGTACGTACCTAGATTCTTCTCATCCAAATATAGCACTGTATCCTGATAGCCGGGGTCAAGGTCTTACAATTCCGTACATACATACGATTTAATTTATCCAAGGATGGATCGTTCAGTCAGTCAATTCATTACTTCTCCAACGATTGATCTAGTCTACCTCTTCATCTTTTTCTCTCTCTCCTTTGTTTATCTGCTCCGTTAGAAGGTCCATATTATTGTTTCTTTTTTTCTTGTGTTTTCCACCCTCTTTCCTACACTCTCACCTTGCCCCTATCTCTCCATTCCTCCTCTAATATCATCACCCGCCTCCTTTGAGAAGTATTGCATTTGATACACTCCTGTGCACTACTGCATGAGGGTTGCCTTATCTCTTTCCAAAATCTCCCAAGCAATTATCCATAAATCCTCCTCACTTCCACTAGATTTTACGGGCCGCCTTGTGCTCTTGATGGCCCTTGGGGACGTCCACTACTTCCCCACCACCAAAGAGAATGGCTTACAACGCCGTTTCCCAGGCCGACGTCGAAGTGGCCTCCAATGCGACCGATTCTGACGCCTCCCGCAGTCCATCGCCGCAGTCGCAACAGCGCCCCACCTTTCAGTCACTGCCCCTAGATACAGAGCACATCGGAGGAGGGAGTTATTTACAACCAGCAAAGGCCGCTGAGGACACCGGATTTGGCAGCTTGAGCTCCATGTTACGGTCCATGACATCGACCAGTTACGACATGGTCGAGGAAGACGACTACGAGGAAACGAACCCTGGCGCAGATCGACGGTCCGACGATCTTCGTCGCGTGATTCCTCCGCTCGACACTACTTCCAAGCCACAAGTGCAAACAGACTCCGATGAACCTCCCTTGCGGACTCCCATCACCGATACGCCGGTACCTCTCAGTCATCCGACGCCAGATCTCCAGTCCTTACAAGGAGCGTATGTCACTAATGTGGAGAGGTTGGAGAGGAGTGCGGAACGCTTGAGCTCGAGCTCAGCGGATATTGCGAGTGAGATTCGAAAGATGAATCTCGAGCAGAAGAGGCGCTCGTGCAGCTCCGTCTCCAACTCTGCTCTCCAATACAACACGGAAGGCTACCCCTTGAGGAACAACATTTCCAGCCCTCAGGGCTCCACTCGTTCTGCATCTCGTTTGGCGCAAGTGTCGGAAAGTGGAAATGAGGGTATTTTCACTCAGCCTGCGTTTGGGACTGCCCCTGAGGACATTTCTCCGCCTCAAGAGACCTTCTCGCCCCAGTCCCCGCCGATTTTCCTGATCGACACAGTCATGGTGCAGGCTACGAGATTGAGAGGCCTTCGTCTGCAGCTTCCGGTGACACCTTTCAACAAGCGAGGGCTCTGTTCACTGATTTTGACGGCGTTCATTTTGTTGACAAAGGTCCGGACCCCATGCGCCATGTGTCGCTGACCCGACCGCCTCTCGCAAGTAGCTCCGAGTCGTACAAGGAACCACAGGTGGGAGATAACATGGTATACTACCCTGCGCCTGTTCCGATGATGCTGAATTTACCGCCTCGGCTATCGCAAAGACGTGACGCGGAACGGGAACGGGAGAAACGTCGCACCCAGCTCCTCAGCACAGTTGCTCCGGAGAACAGGAAATCCGCGCCATGGCTGTCTGGTCAAATTCAAGAGGAAGCGAACGGCCAGAAAAATTACAAAGATTTGCCTCCTCAACTTCGAGCGAGCGTCTTCTTCGACACGCCGGCCGCACCGCTGGAAATCGAAGTGAAACAGGCTTCGGCCGTTGAAACGCTTGAGAGTATACTGGATGCCTCCGCGCATGCCCCTGTTACTGCCTTTACAGAACATCCCTTCGCTGGAAACGTAGGGTCAGATGTATATCGGAGCGCCAGGCCCAAGTCGTCCCATCCGAATCTATCCGAACAAAGGAAGAAACGTGCGTCTAGAAGCAACCTCGTCTCTGAGTATCACGCTTCCAATCCTGACCTCAGAGCGGCCTCCATCGCGTCCCATCCATTACATAAGCAAACTGTAGCAGACGCTGCAGTTAGACATGAAGATGTCGCTCTACATGCGGATGATGATGCTTACGATGAACAGTCAGAGAGCGATGATTCCGAGACGGGCCATGAAGAATCAGAGGAGGAGGACGAACCAGATTTCGAATACACAGGTCCCCCGAATACTCTGCTAGCAGAGCTAGAAATGCGAAAGCAGGAACTTAAACAGCGGCGGCGGACAGCCGCTGTCTCCAATGGAATGCACTCCACCCTTCTTCAGCTTGAGGCTGTCGCGCAGAAGCAAAGTGAGCACAGGCGACAAAAGCCAGTTACATTAGCTTGGGAAGATCCCGACATTCACAAGCACGAGGAGGATGAGGATGAAGATGTTCCCCTGGCTGTGCTCTTCCCTGAGAAAGCCAATGCCCCCGACGAGGCCAGACCATTGGGTCTCATGGAGAAAAGGGAATTGGAGGAGAGTGAGCCGCTGAGCAGACGTCGCGCGAGGCTCCGAGGAGAGCCCTTGCCCTTGACCAGCCTTGATAAGCGCCCAACCACCATATACACTCAAAATATGCCGGAGCCCGCGCAGCCGGACAGTGGAGACGAGGGAGAGACCCTAGCGCAGCGCCTTAAGCGGTTGAAAGCCAAGGACCGCACCAGCACTGTCGCAGAGAGTGAGTTCGCGAGTGAAATTCTTGCCGAATTGAGCCATCTTCACGAGGACGAACCGAAGGACAAGGAAACCGAAGCCGCGCCCGAAGACGAGACTCTGGCTCAACGACGAGAGCGGCTTCGAAGGGAGGCCGCCGCTCAGAAGAAGGCGACCCAAGCTCCAAGATACCGGAGAAGTATGGCGGACATCCTTCATGCCCGTCCGATCAGCGTCGGGCAACCGCCAACGAACGAGCCTGCTGCTCATCGTGGACCG